TTTTTTTTTCCATGTTCCATTAATGATTTTGGCTAACAGGTGAAGAATGAATTGCCTAGTACTTTGAAGGCGTACCGATACCAACAACACCGTTGGTCCTGTGGTCCAGCCAATCTTTTCAGGAAAATGGTTATGGAGATTGCAAGGAACAAGGTTAGAGACAAGACTTTTTTAAATTTCATTCCTTTCTTATATTCATGAACTTAGCAAAACGAAAATGATGTGTGCTTAATAATTAATAATATAATTCTCAACTTCTGCTCTTTTTTTTTCTTTTTTTCTTTTTTTTTAATGCAGAAAGTGACATTGTGGAAGAAAGTGCATGTGATTTACAGCTTCTTCTTCGTAAGGAAGATTGTGGCGCATATCATTACGTTTGTCTTTTACTGTGTCGTTTTGCCAGCAACTGTTTTGGTCCCTGAAGTTCATGTTCCGAAATGGGGAGCTGTCTACATTCCTTCTATCATCACCCTTCTCAATGCAGTCGGGACTCCAAGGTTTGCTTCCAAAACAACACTTGAATTTGTTTAAAACGATGATCATGCCTGTCTGTTCTTAGATTCGAACTACAATTCAAGTTAATTTGTTACGCTGTCTACTCTCATAAAAATTTAAAATTCTGTTGAAACTTTTGAAATGTTTCTTGTACTTATGCTACATATTGAGGCCCATTTTGGTTAGGCTTTTAGGATGACGTGAAAGTTGACTTAGCTATATACATATATAATTGGTTCACGTTATCTTTTTAGTGGACGTTTAGTTTATAGATTTAAAATTATAATTTAAAATTAATCTTGATTTATTTTTGTTTTTTATGAGAAAAAATACTGCAGCGAATCACGAATCATGATTTAAACCATAATACGAATCCTCATACCAAACACATGATTAATTTGATTGTGTTTTATAATTATGCAGGTCACTCCATTTACTAGTTTTCTGGATCCTTTTCGAGAATGTCATGTCGTTACACCGCACAAAAGCCACGATCATCGGCCTACTAGAGGCCAGCCGGGTGAATGAATGGGTTGTCACTGAGAAACTAGGAGATGCCCTCAAGGGAAAAGCAGCAAAAGCGCCCAAAAAACCGCGATTCAAGATCGGAGAAAGGTAGACACACATGTTACATTTTCTTTGGACTGTAAAGAGATCAATATTGTTAAAAGTCAAATACAAGGTGAAAATAGACCTCAATTTGTAAATCTTTTTATTGGGTGTTTGGTATGATGATTCGTATCATGATTCGAATCATGGTTCATTATTCGCTACAGTATTTTCTCTCACAAAAAATACACGTAAACCGAGAATAATTTTAAATTATGGTTTTAAATTTATAAACTAAACGTCC